GGGTTGGATGGTTTTGGTTCTGTTCAACAATGGATGCTTTGAGTAATAAACTTCAAGGCATAATTATCCAGTGAAATCATAGCAAAGTGATGAGATGACAAAAAGCCAACTGATTTCCAGGAACTAAAAATAATGCTATAATATAGGCATTAATTCGTACATGAATATTCTAGCATCTGGCTTTATCCTGATCATTATACATGTTTATATAAACTATAATTTAGAGTTAGGAATCTTTGAAATATTCCTTTTTTCATTTACTTAGTGCTTTTAAGCACTAAATTTGAGATTTTAATGAAATCTATAAGCTGCTGATTTCTTTTATATTAAATAAGATACTGATAGCAATTCACTTAAAAATCATTTGATCCTTTGTCACTTTAGCTAAGATACTTTACAGTAGCAGTTAATTACAATAACAGTTTTAGATTGTTAACCTGATTTTCATGCCATCAAGGCTCACTCTGACAGTGAGTTAACTTCTATAGAATCATTCTTCTTCTGATTTAATATTTTACATTCAGCAAAGAATTTTGGTAGTTGAAAATGATGGTCATTCTAACTGTTCAGGAAACGTGAAGTGAGTGTAATGAGTGTTCTCTTAGTGAGTGTAGTCATTCTGACAGTCTTAGGGAGATCAGTAATTTTGGAGGAAACTTCTGTTTTATCTCATGTGAGGAAGGGATGGAAGGTGGGTTGAATATTTATAACGGGCCAATGCTTTTAAAACTAACGTATGGGGTACAAGTAACGCCTTCCTATAGACAGTTGACCCTTAAACACCCTGGGGGTTAGGAGTACCAACTCCCATGTAGTCGAGAAACTGCCTATAACTTTTGACCCCACCTCCCCCCCCCCCGGCAAAAGTTAATAACCTACTGTTGACCAGAAGCCTTACCAATAACATGAACAGTTGATTAGCACACACATGTATTATATACTGCTTCTTGCCATGAAGTAAGGTAGAGAAAAAATGTTAAGAAAATCCTAAGAAGAAATACATTTATAGTACTTCGCTGTCTTTATCAAAAATAATCCGTGTGTAAGTGGACCTATGCGGTTAATACCTGTGTTGTTCAAGAGTCAACTGTGTATTGAAGTAGAAATTTAAAATAAAACTCATTCCTAAAGGAGAGCCACTGAGCTCTTTGTGTGTGTCATTTGGTGACTTGAAGGATCCGTATGTGTTTGTGTTTTTCTCGTGGTGCTGGCAGTGAGTTACGTAGACTGAGTGCAGCTACTGCTGCCTGGTTCTTCCTGTGTTGTAAATGTTCTGTATACTCAAATCAGCCTATGGAATAAGCACTGTGTATGTGTGTGTATATGTATATATGGATATATATGTATATATATATCTCTATCCATATATGGATACACAGTGTGTATATATGTATACATATCCATATCCATACATACACACACATACACATATGTGTGTGTATATATATGTATATATGTATATGTATATATGGATATGGATATGTATACATATATATATCCTAAGCAAAACTATTGTGAGGATTTGGAGTTGAATGTGACACATTCATACTTAGATGCAAATTGGTTTCAGCACCAAGAGAAAGCATCAACAGTCCGGGCATTTGGAATAACTCCCTGTGTCTGCTTTTTTTTTTTTTTTTTTTCTTATAATATTAACTTTAAGAGGGCATTATAAATAAGAGACAAATAAAATTAAATTCAAAAGAATATTATGTGGGCAGGCCCTTTAAATATTGTAAATTCTATTGTATGAAAGAAGTAATTAGTTTAGAATTTAGATTCATTGTAATTAAATTAACATAATTCAAGAAAGACACATAATTCAAGAAAATCATCATGTGTTTTTCCCATAATGCCTTATTAATTACATATTTTTGAAGGAATGGTTTCTCATATTCCAGAATCTGCCAAAGTGTTCACAAATGCATTGTAAAGTATTCTTTGAAATGCAGTTACAAATCAGAGGTCATGATAGAACCCTCTACACACCCTTCCTCCCCTTTACCATGGGGTAAAAAGCTCACAACTTTGCCAAATAACAGAAGACCATTTACGTGGATTGACGTTTACAGTTTAAAACAGAATGTTGGATAAGTCTGAAGATACTTACACATTATTAGGCCTGTTTTATTGGTTGTTTTTTTTTATAGACTCCAGACTTTATTTATACATGTTAAGTAATGAGATTCCCCCCCCCCCCCACGGGAACACTTAGCATAAAGGCTTAAACATTTTTTCCCTCGGAACAGTGCATTTTCCCCACAACATATCTAACATTGGACACTAAATTCCTTCAGACCTCTTCAGTATTTTATGCCTTGTTGTTTGGAAGGTACCCACCTTTGCTGTGAGTCTTCAGTCAGTTTCTGAGTACATTTTTTCTGAGGAATACTTCCACAGAGTCAACAGCTACCACTCTGGTCTCTCGATAGTGATTGAGCTTTGAAAAGTTTAATGAACTATCAGGGTGCATTTCTCTTTGGCCCCGATGAGACACTTTTTAAGTTGCTTCTTTGCAGCCGTGTGTTCTGTGTCATTTGAAGATATTCCTACTACATTCTTTGAGTAGCCGACCTCCTTAAACAGCCCGGTTCTCGTTCTGGGCTTTGCACTCCACTGAAAAGTCCAGAGTTTGAAAAACCCTCAGATAAATGAAATGACAATAACTTACAAGTTTATCAGTGGTCTTAATTCCTCCCTGTTGAGTCTGTATTTTTGATGATGAAGTATAACCAAATACCTTTGGGGTTACTTTTGAAACAACCCTCAGAGCAGAGAGCATGTTCTTGTAAGGGAGGCTAGTAAGGGAAGCAGCTACGAGCGGAAGAGTCTTGTTAAGACAGGTATTACCTGGCACCAAAGTGGTCTGATGGTTGGCCTCTTCGCGAGCAGAGTAACCTTTTTAGGAAATAGGAACGTCCGCCTCCATGGAACTTTTGTTCATAGTCTGGAGTATTTACACATGACCGCTCCTACATTGGACCCAGTTAACACTGAATTGTATTAGTTCATTCAGTTTCATCTCATAAGTGTTGCAATTATATACCTCCAAGATCTATTAGAACTTACTACCTTTCGACAAAGATGTCAACTGAAAATGTAATGTTTTGGCCTCAGGAAGATGATTTCTACAAGATTTGTTCTTTCACTGTGGTTTAATTCGGTGGTGAGGGGGCGCCTGGGTGGCGCAGTCGGTTAAGCGTCCGACTTCAGCCAGGTCACGATCTCGCGGTCCGTGAGTTCGAGCCCCGCGTCGGGCTCTGGGCTGATGGCTCGGAGCCTGGAGCCTCTTTCCGATTCTGTGTCTCCCTCTCTCTGCCCCTCCCCCGTTCATGCTCTGTCTCTCTCTGTCCCAAAAATAAATAAACATTGAAAAAAAAAATTTTAATTCGGTGGTGAGGATCACCTTTTCAAAAATAGTTTGTGTATATTGTCATTGTTTCAAGGAATTTATCACAAAACCTTTAATATATTTAATGATATGCATCAATAACTTTTGCCACATCTATACCACCCTGATTTCTTACTTTGCAGTTGAGTGTCTGCCAGGGACTGTGTGAGATGTTCATTTAATCCTCATTCCCACAAAGTGGTCTGTGTGCAAGTGGTATGCACACTTACCAGGATACATGATTCTGGTAGATATCAGAAAGCTAATATATTAAAAGTCAAACCGCACAGTGTAGAAATGCAAATCTGATTCCAGATCTCTTTCTCATACCTAGCATCACACTCTTCGTTTTACCACATTGTATATGGTACTGAAGTTTTTAGCTGACATTAAGCTTAGTTAAATACAAGGCTAAATAATTATGGCTTTAAAGCCCCACATACAATATATTGTAGTTTATTTAAAAGTAAATATATATATTTAACCCAAACACTGTTCTAACTTCTGGTTTTTTTCTTTTTCATTTTGGCTGTCTTGTGAATAAGATCTTAAATGACCACTAGAGAAGAATCAAGAAAAAAATAGTATTAGATTTGAAGAGATATATTGACCCCCTATGTTTACTGCAGCATTATTTACACCAGCCAAGTTATGGAAGCAACCCTGGTGTCCCTTGATAGATGAATGGATAAAGCAGATGAGGGGTGTGTGTGTGTGTGTGTGTGTGTGTGTGTGTGTGTGTGTGTGTGTG